ATTGGGGAAATCGATACGATTAAAACCAGTCAAGTCCCGAGGGCCTAATGCTCTGCATCCCAGAGTAGTTAAGGGAGTGGCTCTCGAAATATTGGACGCATTGGTGATCATTTTCCAGCATTCAATAGACTCTGGAAGAGTTCCAATGGGCTGGAGGGTAGCTAATGTAACCCTACCTTTTAAAAAAGGAAGAAGAGAGAAAACAGGGAAAGCAGGCCAGTTAGTCCGACATCGGTCATGGAGAAAATGCTGGAGTCAATTATTAAGGATGTAATAGCTGAGCATTTGGAAAGCGGTGACAGGATTAGTCCAAGTCAGCATGGATTCACTAAAGGAAAATCATGCTCGACAAATCTTCTGGATTTTTTTGAGGATGTGCCCAGTAGAGTGGACAAGGGTGAATCAGTGGATGTTGTACATCTGGGCTTTCAAAAGGCTTTTGACAAGGTCCCACACAAGAGATTAGTAAGCAAAACTGAAGTTCATGGTATCAGAGGTAATGTATTGACATGGATAGAGAACTGGTTGGCAGACAGGAAGCGCAGAGTTGGAATAAATGGGTCGTTTTCAGAGTGCCAGGCAGTGACAAGGGGGTTACCGCAGGGTTCAGTGCTGAGAGCCGAGCTGTTCACAACATTCTCCAAACCATTAATGTAAGAATGGGGATGCAATATCTCCAAATGTACAGACGACACTAAGCTGTGTGGCAGTGTGAGATGTGAGGAGGATGCAAAGAGGCTGCAGGGTGACTTGGACAGACTGGCTGAGTGGGCAAATACATGGCAGGTGCAATACAATGTGGATAATTGGGAGGTCATCTCCTTTGGTGGCAAAAACAGGAAGGTATTATCTGAATGGTGGCAGTTTAGGACAGTTGAGGAGCAACGAGACTTGGGTGTCGTGATGGAACAGTCACTGAAGGTTGGCATGCAGTGAGGAAAGCCAATGGCATACTAGCCTTCATTGCAACAGGATGAGTATAGGAGTAGGGATGTCTTGCTGCAGTTATACAGAGCCTTGGTGAGGCTGTACCTTGAGTGGTGTGCAGTTTTGGTCTGCTAGACTGAGGAAGGACGTTCTTACTATTGAGGGAGTCCAGTGAAGGTTCACCAGACTGATTCCTGGGATAGTAGGACTGACATATGAGGAAAGACTGGGTCTCACTGAAAGTAATAGGGTTGTTGTCATGGGCAACTTCAACTTCCCTAATATAGACTGGAACCTCCTAAGTGCAAATAGTTTGGATGGAGCAGATTTTGTCAGGTGTGCCCAGAAAGGATTTCTGACTCAATATGTAGATAGGCCGTCTAGAGGGGATGCCGTATTGGATATGGTGCTTGGCAACGAACTAGGTCAGGTGTCAGATCTCTCGGCGTGAGAGCATTTCAGTGATAGTGATCACAACTCCCATGACTTTTACAATAGTCATGGAGAGGGACAGGAGCAGACGGTATGGGTAAGTATTTAATTGGGGAAGGGGGAATTACAATGTATTGGGCAAGAACTACGGAGCACCAATTGGGATCAGATGTTCACGATAGAAATGTGGAGGTTGTTTAGGGAGCAGTTACTGCAGGTACTGGATAGGTTTGTCCCACTGAGGCAAGGAAAGGATGGTAAGGTGAAGGAACCTTGGATGACAAGACATGTTGAACACCTAGTCAAGAGGAAGAAGAAAGCTTACTTAAGGTTAAGGAAGCAAGGATCGGACAGGGCTCTAGCGGTCTACAAGGTAGCTAGGAAGCAACTGAAGAATGGACTTAGGAGAGCTAGAAGGGGGTATGAGAAAACCTTAGTGGGTAAGATCAAGGAAAACCCCAAGGCTTTCTATACTCATGTGAGGATGGCCAGAGTTAGGGTAGGGCCAATCAGGGCCAGTGTCAGAGGAAGTAGAGGAGGTCTGTAATGAATACTTTGCTTCAGTATTCACCAGTGAGAGGGATCTTGACAGGCAGATAAGCTCGAACAGGTTGTTGTTAGGAAGGAGGATGTGCTAGAAATTATGAAAAACATGAGGATAGATAAGTCCCCTGGGCCAGACGGGATATACCCACGGTTATTACAGGAAGCGAGGGGAGAGATTGCTGCCCCTTTGGCAATGATCTTTGCGTCCTCACTGGCCACTGGAGTAGTGCCAGAAGATTGGAGGGTGGCAAATGTCATTCCCCTGTTCAAGAAAGGAAATAGGGATAATCCTGGAAATTACAGACCAGTCAGTCTTACTTCTGTGGTGGGCAAATTATTGGAGATGATTCTGAGGGATAGTATTTATGATTATTTGGAAAAGCACAGTTTGATTAGAAATAGTCAGCATGGCTTTGAGAGGGGCAGGTCATGCCTCACAAACCTTATTGAATTCTTTGAGGATGTGACAAAACACATCGATGAAGGTAGAGCAGTGGATGTGGTGTATGGATTTTAGCAAGGTATTCGATAAGGTTCCACATGGTAGGCTCATTTAGAAGTAAGGAGGCATGGGATTCAGGGAAATTTGGCTGTCCGGATACAAAACTGACTGTCCAATAGAAGACAGAGGGTAGCAGTCGATGGAAAGTATTCAGCCTGGAGCTCAGTGACCAGTGGTGTGCCGCAGGGATCTGTTCTGGGACCTCTACTCTTTGTGATCTTTATAGATGACTTGGATGAGGAAATGGAAGGGTGGGTTAGTAAGTTTGCCAATGACACGAAGGTTGGTGGAGTTATGGACAGCGTGGAGGCTGTTGTAGGTTGCAATGGGACACTGACAAGATGCAGACCTGGGCAAAGAAGTGGCAGATGGAATTCAAGTGTGAAGTGATTCATTTTGGAAGGTCGAATTTGAATGCAGAATACAGGGTTAATGGCAGGATTCTCGGCAGTGTGGAGGAACAGACGGATCTTGGGGTCCACGTCCATAGATCCCTCGAAGTTGCAACCCAAGTTGATCAGGTTGTAAAGAAGGCGTACGGTGTGTTGGCTTTCATTGGCAGGGAAGTTGAGTTTAAGAGCCGTGAGGTTATGCTGCAGCTCTATAAAGCTCTGGTTAGACCACGCTTGGAATATTGTGTTCAGTTCTGGTCACCTCATTACAGGAAAGATGTGGAAGCTTTAGAGAGGATACAGAGGAGATTTACCAGGATGCTGCCTGGACTGAAGGGCAGGTCTTATGAGGAAAGGGTGAGGGAGCTAGGGCGTTTTTCATTGGAGCGAAGAAGGATGAGAGGTGATTTGATAGAGGTGTACAAGATGATAGAGTAGATAGAGTGGATAGTCAGAGACTTTTTCCCAGGGCAGAAATGACTATTATGAGGGGGGCATAATTTTAAGGTGATTGGAGGAAGATATAGGGTAGATGTCAGAGGTAGGTTCTTCACACAGAGAGTGGTGGGCGTGTGGAATGCATTGCCGGCAGTGGTAGTGGAGTCAGATACTTGAGACTTTTAAACGACTCTTGGAGGATAGTAAAATGTAGGGTATGCAGGGTAGATTGATCTTAGTAGGATAATAGGTCAGCACAACATTGTGGCCAAAGGACCTGCACTGTGCTGTACTGTTCTATGTTCTGTGTAACTGTGCTTGTACTCACCAAATTTAGAAGAATGAGGGAGGATCTCAGAAACATTTAAAATCCTGATGGAACTGGACATGCTACATGCAGGAAGAATGGTCCTGATGTTGGGGGAAGTTGTAGTCTAGAACTAGGGGTCACATTCTAGAATAAGGGGTAAGCCATTCAGGACTAAATTGAGAAAGAATTTCTTCACTCAGTTGTGAACCTGTGGAATTCTCTACCACAAAAAGCTGTTGGGGCCAGTTCATTAGATATATTCAAAAGCGAGCTGGACGTGGCCTTTCAGGCTAAAGGGAATAAGGAGTATGGAGAGAAAGCAGTAGTGGGATACTGAAACTGCATGATCAGCCATGATCATATTGAATGGTGGTGCAACTCGGAGGGGTGATTGGCCTACTTCTGCACCAATTTTCTATGATTCTATAATAGCTCCCACTTTGCTCTTGCAGGGGGATACTTAATCCCATTCAATATCATCTATGTAGCAAGTGGAGGTCAAGATTTCTAAGTAAAATAATCAAACTTCTGCCATTCCAATGTGTGAAGCTCCAAGTTAATAATCAGATGCTCAAATGTTAAAGCATTAAACAGACTGCTGTATTTCAGGTACAGTAAAAGTTACTTCAACACCCCAAAGCCTCATGTAAATTGATGAGGCATACAAAGTGTGAACACCGTAGATTTTATCTCCAGTCCAACCAAGTTGGCTTAACTCAACAATGAGGACACTATAATAGGTTCACTGCCTCACTGTTAAAAAGAAAATCAGCCACTGATTCAAGACTATGGATCAAGGTTACAATATTCAAAGTTATGGATCAAAGTCATGATGTTCAAGGCAACGGGCCAAGTGCTAGAAAGTGGGATTTGTGTAGATAGGTTGGTGCAGACTTTTTGGGCTGAAGGGCCTTTTCTGTGCTGTCTGACTCTATGACACAGTTTAGCAAGCTTGCTGGCAACTGCTGCAGACTACCAGCAGAGGATCGTATTTGGCTTTAGTGCAATGATCTAATAATCAAAATATGTTGCCATTAACATTAAAATAAAAAACTTGGACATTGCTGGTTTCATTTCACTACCTGCACATTCTGTGGGAATATAGTTTCAAAGTCTATGCCTTCAGGTCAGCAGAAATTTCTCTAAACATGTTTACTATGTGAAAAATGAAGTCTGGCTTATTTCAAGTAGCAAACAGAATAACCCAGAGGTTTACTTTACAGAGAAATTGCCATACGGTATTTGATTACTATTGATATGAAAGTATCAAGACAAAATAAATTCCTGACTCATAAATCTCCCTGCCCGTCTCCTCCTTAGTTTAGTCACCTATACTAATATTTTTATCTTTGCCTCAGTGTCAATTTCTAACCGGCTACATGCCTATGAAGTATCTCAGGATATTTCCTCGACAAATGAGGGTTATTATTATCAAAATAATTATATCAAGACATTTTGAATTGTATATGAACTTTACAAGTTTTTTGTTTACAAACCATATCGGATTGGCAAAATGATCTCAGTAGGCTGATGCAATGTATTCATTTCAACGAGTCAAATAGTTAATTTTTAATTCTGATTTTAAACTTAAAAGCTCATTACACTCCTAAATCTAAATTAGAAGCATTTTTAAAAGATTAAAGAGTTCACTGTATTAACAAAAGTAACCTGTGAAAAAAATTATGATCAACTGATGACAGCAACATTGGAAATAATTTCTTAGACCTCTCAAACCAAGTTTATATATCCAGTGAAGAACTTCTAAAAAAAAATTCTGCATAAAAAAGGCAAACTACTTGCATTTATATAACACCTTAAAAAAGTCCCAAGGCTCTTCTCAGGCATGTACAAAGCCAACATCCATAATAATCCATATTTACAGTTTCAGGTGTTAACAAATATTAACACCAATTATTCAAAAAATAGGTGTAATCATGTTATAAAGTGAATTAAAGATTTTTTTCCAATACGTGAAAGTACTCGTTATATCAAATTATGCACAGAGCAGACCCACCTCAACCCATGAACATGATTTCAACGTAGTAAAGAAATTATAACTCCACATAGAAGAAAGCAAAGCATCAATTTACAGATGATTTGTCATACCGTTTTAACTGTGCCAGTCAGGTTTTGTCTTCCTGCTTGATTAAATTTTGATGATAGTTCTGTTTGAGTAGCCATTATTTTTCAATTGAAATCAGCTCACAATCTGTGTAATTTTTACCACTGTCATCCTCAACTCATAGGTCAAGAATCCACACAAAATGGACCATCAACCAAAGCTCATCGTGTGAAATCAAGATTTGAAAAGCTATTCTTTTTGTTTGAAACAATGGTTTAGTTTGTGACAAAAGAAAACAGCAATTTGTTACTGGTCATCAATCTTCATCTGCAATTTTCATCATCTTCTGTTGAATTGCATGGAAGACTGGAAATCAGCACCATCATTCTGCATATGCAACCACAATTTCTAGAGGATAGGAGAAAAGATGTTTCAGTCATCCATCACGATGTGGTCTAACATACAACACCAAATTAGAAATTTATCAAAATATTAACATAACCTGTCAACAGTTGGTTTGTGGGGACAACAATGTCCTCATTTTTTCACGAATTATCTCTGGTAACTTGTTGCAGAAAGAACATCGAAGTCACAACCCACAAGACCAAAGCTCCAAACGAATGAAATACCAGGGAAAAGAAATACCAGAATCCGAGAAACGTTCGACAACCGACACAGCATGTGGAACGAAGTACGTCGAGATGAAAATGTGAGGGTATTCGGGCATGGTTTAGCTGCAGATGACTGAATGTGCAGCTCAGGCTGATGGACAACCTGCCCTGTCTTCCCACCCCCTCACCACCTCCACGACCGCTCTAGCTTTTGTCTTGGCGCCTGGCAGCTGTCACTCACAAACACCCCTGCTTCAATACTTTTCTCGCAAATCACCTCACGAAAAGAAAACTTAAACAAGAAAGCACACACTAAACCTACAGATGCAATTGATCAAATTACCTTTGTCCCCCAAAAGGAGTGTTTTTTTTTGGGGGGGGGGGCGGTAGGCGAGAGGCAACGCTCGAGCTGTCAAAGGGAAGCTCGACGGCTTGGCACAAACTCTCCACCCAGCCCAACCCACGATTTTACTGATCGTCCTCGCAGCTTTACATTTACTGCCAGGATGCAAGCTTCTATCAGAAACAGATCCCCAAACTCCAGTTTTAAAGAAGTGCCGGAGTGAGCCCCAATCTCTCAGCGGCCACCGATACCCGCCCAACCGTCGCCGTTCGAGCTCCCTCACTTGAAATTGCGCCACCCGTGCTCACGGTTGTTTGACACGAGGAAACACCCAATATAAACAGGAGAAGGATGATTGACGGATGGATTTACCAATGGCAATTTAAAGTGGGCATCGACGGGGCGGTGCATGAGACCTCAACGATCCATCAGCACGATTGGACGGCTTGCTTCTCCAATCCTTGCAACAAAAGAATAAGGTTTGTAAGAAGTTCTGATCTCAAATGCATTCCTTAATCAGAGGCATCAAATAAGTTGAAGAAAATAATGATAAAAGGCGCTGTTAAATATAACTGTGCACAATTGTTGTTTGAAAATTGCTCCACACGGCTTTTAGAGAAAAGACGTACGGGGTTGATTGACGTTTTCGCTAACGAATCACGTTGACGTATTCTGTTTTAGGCGGGCTCTAGCTTGACAAGTTGTTTGATTGACGTTATTTTAACCAATAGTCTTCGGATCATTGGGTTGGGCTGAACGCGGCGCAAAACAAAGCATTGAGCAACAAAAGAGTATTAAATGTAAATAAGAGCATGTGATGAATGGTTAGTTGTGAAGCCGACTCAAATTATTTAATGTATCAAAGTTTTTAATATTTTCTGTATTCCTATGTTTCTTCCAACGAAAATAACTTCAGCAATTTCTCCCTGCCTATACTTGTCTGAACCTGTGTATTCTTGACGATATGGAATTCAAGACCATGTGAATGCCCAAATCAACAGATCTATTGTGCAAAACATTTAAACTCTCACCCACATGCAATTGGTTTGGCTCTGGAATGCCCTGCCTGAGACTGTGGTGGAGACAGATCTAATCATGGCTTGAAACATAGATTTCGATAATTATCTGCAGAGAAAAAAAGGCTACAGGAGAACAGAAGACCGAACGTAACTGATTTGCCTTTGAAGAGAGCAGGCGGGAACAGGATGGGCCAAGTGGTCCCTTTCAATGATACATGGCACCAAGTCCCAATAAAGTCCCTGGGTCTTTAAAGGCATTGTTACAACCAAGACAGCCAAACTTCTTGGACCAAACTGTTGTTTAAGCTTCCCAATTAATAATTCTATTTTGTTGACAGTATCTCTGTGAGGTGCCTTAGGCATTTTCTATGTTGGAAGCACTACATAAGTGCACATTGTTGTATCAGCATGGCACAATAGTAGCATTCCCTGAGTCAGCAGGGTGTGCATTGTTTGGAGTCCAGTGAAACTGTGTTAGCTCTGCTTCCTCACCACAGATGCTGCCAGACCTGTTGAGTTTATCCAGCAATTTCCGATTTTGTTTCTGATTACCAGCTTCCGCAATTCCTTGTTGTTTTTGTGGATGAAGCCTCACTCAATGACCTGAGCACATAATATAAAATGACCCTTCAGTTTAGAATGTTTCTATGTTAGCAGTGCTGACTTTACATGTTTGATTAAAACAAAGCTATTCAGGTGAAGGTAGATGATTGAATAGAAGAGATGGTGTGATGCTACCATGGCTTTAAGAGGTATATTTTGTCCTGGGGTTTTTTTGAATGAAGAGAGTTTGAGACAGAGGAATCAAGCAGTCTGCTCAAAATCAATGAAGTAAACAACTTGTGAGGCCTTGGGACAACACAGTATGGAGCTGGAGGAACACAGCAGATCAGAGAAGTAGGAAAGTTGATGTTTCAGGTTGGGCCCTTCTTCAGGTCTTGGATTTTTTTTTAAAAGTTGAAACGATAGAAGTAGTCAGAATGGGTAGGTCAAGCTCCCACAGAAACAAGATTTTAATTTAGCTTTCAGTAGCTGTCGTGGTTGTGAAAGCTGCTCTCACTCACTGTCTGCGACAGCTAAAAGCTGGAGTTCCTTCTCTCTCAAAGATCTTCTTTTGATATTCTTTCTTCCTGGATTGGATAATTGCATGTGAGGCAATCTATTTTATTGAGTTTGCTTTTGCCAAGGGAGTGTTTATGGGATGTTATTATATTGGAACAGTTGCTGCTTAGTAGTTAAATAATCTATCATTCCGTTAAGATTTCCATAAGAAATAAGTTATTACAATCCTTCTTTCTTTTGTTTATATTTTAACTAAAGTGTTTGAATAGAGTGTGTTTTGCTTCAAGCCTGGTAGTTTGACCAATCGAATTGCATCCAGAATGCAACATCTGGTACTTGCCTTTAAAATAAGAAAAAGTCAGTGTCTAGCCTATCTCCTTGACATGTTTTAAGGGGATTTGGTCTGGTCCATAACAGTGGGGACTCTCCCACTATCCTGTACAGCACTGATTGGACTTTGTGGTGCACAAGTTGGAGAGGGTTTGCCCAAATAACAACATCAACAACACTTCAAGAGCAACCAAGTTATTTAACAGTAGAGTAAAGAAGTCGCAACAGTCAACAAATGCAATATAAGCAAGCCATGATGTTAAATTGTAGAACTATACAATACTGAGAAAAGATATTCCGCACATTTTACCTTATTCCTATGTTAGCTCCCTGAAAGACATATGCAATTTTTTCCCTCTATCCAGAATTTCCCATTTTTTGTATAGTTTTCCTTTATAACCTAACTGACCAAAAGTATTCATTTTATTACAGAGATAGTAGGAACTGCTAATGCTGGAGAATCTGAAATCACAAGGTGTAGAGCTGGATGAACACAGCAGGCCAAGCAGCATCAGGGGAGCAGGAAAGCCGACATTTTGGGTCTGGACCCTTCTTCCCTTGACTGACCTATCCCCATCCTAACTCCCCATCTACACTCACCTTTAATGGCTCCATCCCCGCCTCCCTGACCTGTCCATCTTTTCTCCCACCTA